TGCCTTATGGCCTACGTTAGGCCATGGTTTAGTTTTAGGATAGTAGCGGAGCCTAGAGTGATTCGATACATTGATTTAGTCTTAACTTATGATTATGATGTGATTACATCTAACATATATGTGATCCATACTTAATATACAGTATAACTTGAGGTGGATATCATTTGAGGCGTTATTTGCCATATAATGTTATGTTTTCATAGTTACGCTCGAGTACATGAGCTTAGTAAAATTTGTTATCGTTACGCTCGAGTTGTGATTCGAGTGGTGTCAAGTCGAGCGCAATTATTGAGGGCGCTTTATTATGATATAACACAGAATAATATAGAGATAGCTCGAGTTTTGAGCTGTACAGTTTGTTCAACATGTATTTTCTTATCTGCTTGTTTTACAGTTACCGTGTTTAGTATGCAATAAATCCTGAGTGAAATTGCAAGTATATGTACTTGTTTTTTGTTGTGTGCTGAACCGGTTAGCTTCCTGGATAGCGACATACGAGAAGTCGCGAGGCCAGCACAGTAAAAATAGTTTCCTTTGTGGTTTACATCCAACACCCAATCACCGAAGATGTCTGTGAGATCAGGTAGTGTGCGGAGTTCGAAGTCATCAACTAGATCTTCACTTCAGTTGATTGCCGCAGATGCAAGAGCTGACATCGCCATACAAAGAGCACGTGAAGCCTTTGCTGCCAAAAGAGCCGAGGAGCAGAGGAAGAGGTTAGAGGCAGACCTCGAATTGGAGAAACTTCTTAGAGAAGAAGCCCTTGCAGCTGCCGAAGCTCGTGCTGAAATGATTCAAGCCGAGTTGGAAAGGTTGGACTTATTTGAAGAGAGAAGTGATGTGTTAGAATCTTTACCAAATGAAACGCCCAACCAACGTGTGGAAGAGTATCTGGCAGAGATCCCAGAGCAGCCTGAATCACCAGTCCATTCAGAAGCAAGCAGCGAAGCAGAGATTGTTAGAACAAAGCTTCCTGAATCACCAACCAAACAAGAAGTAGCCTGTGAATCAGTGAAACCAGCTTGGAATATAAGTTCACCACCATTTGTATCCACCAATGCTGAGTGTGTGAAAATTTTGGCTCGTCAGAGATTGCCAATCCAGGAACCAGATAAATACTCTGGTGATCCTATTTTATTTTTGTCTTGGAGAAGAGCATTTGAATCGATGGTGAATGCAGCATGCGTTCCAACAGTTGAAAAACTTTCCTTTCTGGGAAAATACACCACCGGCCCAGCAAAGACGTTGGTGGATAGGTTCCGATTGAGAAATGTTAACGATGCGGAAAAGGCGTATACTGGTGCATTAGCAGAGTTACAAAAGCGATTTGGAAATCCCACAGTCATTTCGGCTGAGGTGATAAAGAGTCTTAGTTCATTGCCAAGGTTTATTGCAGACGATATTAACAGACTGCAGGAGTTGGCAGATAGATGCGAAGACACAGTGGCACAGATGCCAGACGTGCCCCACCTAACCTTCTTGAACACTCCTCACGGGATAGATCCCATTGTAGAGAAACTTCCTAACATCCTCATTAACAAGTGGAGGGAACGAGTAGCAGCCTATAAAAGGAAGTGTGGTCAGTTTCCACCATTCAGTTACTTTGCAGAATTCATAAGTGAATGCGCGGAGATGTTACGAGATCCAGACATTCCTAGAAGCTGTAGTGACTCAAGAATAAACGCAAAACTGAACTATATGGGGGCCAAGATGGAAGTTGTGAACGTCAGAAAGACAGCTGTCAACACTGAAGTAAAGTGTCCTATACACAAGTCACCACACCCACTCAACAAATGTAGAGCCTTCCTTGAGAAATCAGTGGATGAGAAACAAGCATTTTTGAAGGAGCAGAAGATCTGTTTCAGGTGCCTGTCATCAACATCGCATTTGGCGAAAAACTGTAAAGTAGACGTAAAATGTGACGAGTGCGGAAGCTCCAGTCACTTAACCGCACTCCATTTCCCGAAGAGTACACAGAGACCCCAAACCAAGAACTGCGCGATATACGCTCAAAACATGTGCAGGGTCAACAAGTTTTGTGGGTCGACAGCTTGGCGACATGATTGTCCAATCTGTGGATGGACAGAAGTGTTTGAAAATGCCGACCGTAATAGAGTGCGAAAATATTCCCGGCAACAAGCTTGAAATTCCAACTCCGGAAACAGCGAGCAAATTTCCACATTTGAAGTCTATTGCCAACAAAATCCCTCAATTACAACCAGACACACCAATACTCATCTTATTGGGACGTGATATTCCCCAGGCGCACAAGATCAGAGAGCTGAGAAATGGTCCTAACAGTGCACCATGGGGTCAGCGCCTAGACTTAGGTTGGGTCGTGGTTGGCAACATGTGCTTGGGAGGTGCCCATCAAAAGGAAGATATGATTTCTGTCTCTTATACACATCTAGATGTGTATAAGAGACAGGATGCGAACCTGGTAACCTACAGAATGAAGGTACATATATTCGGTAATAGACCTTCACCAGCTGTTGCCACGCTGGGATTGCGCAGGACCGCTAAAGAAGGAGAAAGTGAATTTGGAAGTGATGCAAGGGCCTTTGTAGAATCAAACTTCTATGTAGACGATGGTTTGAAATCGTTTGCATCAGCCAGAGAAGCTGTTGATTTGCTGACACGTACCAGAAACATGTTAGCTACAGCCAACATTAAACTACACAAAATAGCGTCAAACGATAAAGAAGTTATGGCAGCCTTTGCTCCTAGTGATCTTGCACCAAATGTTCAAGAAGTCGATCTTGGGTCAGACGCACCGGTTATGCAAAGATCATTGGGAGTGTATTGGGATATGAGGTCTGACACTTTTACGTACAAAATATTACAAGCAAATGGCGAACCAAGTACCAAGAGGGCTGTCTTGTCAGAAATTAACAGTATGTACGATCCCTTGGGCTTTGCAGCGCCGGTCATCATAGAAGGCAAGATGCTACTAAGAGAAATAATAGGAGAAAACAAAGTCGGATGGGACGAGCCTTTGCCACAGCAACCTCTAGAAGCTTGGAAGAAATGGAGATCATCCGTAAATGAACTCTCGCAAGTCAACATTCCAAGAGCTTACACTCCATTTCCAGCTAAGGAGGCAGTACGTCGTGAACTTCATATATTTGGCGACGCATCCAGCCGAGCAATCAGTGCTGTCTCGTATCTCAGAAGTGTAAACAAGTCTGGAAAGGCTTATGTGTCATTTGTGCTAGGGAAGTCAAAACTGGCACCTAAGGCGGCTACAACAATACCACGTATGGAGTTGTGTGCGGCTGTGCTGGGTACAGACGTTTCAGAGTTAGCCGTAACAGAATTAGATCTCAAAATAGATGCAGTGTACTTTTACACTGATAGCAAAGTGGTAATGGGCTATATCACCAACAGGACACGTAGATTTTATCTTTACGTGTCGAACAGAGTTGCAAGGATTCTCAGGGTTAGCAAACCTGAATACTGGAAGTACATACCCACTGCTATGAATCCAGCTGATGTAGGAAGCAGATCAATCAAGGCGAAAGACCTACAAAATTCGCCGTGGTTACAAGGACCAACATTCCTACATAAGTCGTCATTACCACCCAGTTTAGAAACCGACGAGACGAATTATGATGACGACCTGGACAATGATCCAGAAGTGAGAAACACTGTGTCCGCATATGCTACCGAAGTCAAGATGACTGGTGTACTGGAATCTCATCGGTTTAATAGATTCTCTAGTTGGTTAAAGCTGTTACGAGCAATTGCAAGTTTAATATTGCTTGCAAACAAGAGTAAACGCAAGGCAAATGTGATAAGTGACAAAGACAGGTATGCCTTGGCTGCAAATATTGTCATAAGGACTGTGCAACATGAAGCCTTTGGGGATGAGATTAGTAGTTTGAAAGCAGGGAAAAACTTGTCATCCAGTAGTTCGTTGGTGAAACTGAACCCTGTTCTGGACAGTGAAGCATTGTTAAGAATTGGAGGTCGTGTTACAGCTGCATCGGATTTAACATTCACAGAAAAGCACCCCTTAATTATCCCGAAAAAAACTCACGTGACTTCTCTATTGGTCACTCACTACCACCAAGAAGTTGTACACCAAGGAAGACACCTTACAGAGGGTGCTGTACATGCTGCAGGCTACTGGATAATCGGTGGAAAACAGGTCGTGTCAAGATTGATATATAGTTGTGTGACGTGTAGGAAATTGAGAGGGAAGTTTCAAGTGCAGAAGATGGCAGACCTGCCAACAGAAAGACTCGCTCAAGATCCCCCGTTTACATATGTAGGCTTGGATGTGTGGGGCCCTTGGTCTGTGGTGGCAAGACGCACGAGGGGAGGCTTAGCTCAAAGCAAGCGGTGGGCCGTTTTATTTACGTGCATGTGTTCAAGGGCCGTGCATATTGAGTGTATAGAATCTATGGACGCCTCAAGCCTTATAAATGCCCTTAGACGATTCCAGGCAATTCGTGGTCCGATTAAGCAACTGCGATCTGATTGCGGGACTAACTTTATAGGAGCTTGTAGTGAACTTCAAGCAAGCTTACAAGAATCAGGACTTAGCAAGGTCAAGAAATACCTCTTAGACAAGAACTGTGAATGGATCTTCAATACTCCACACTCTTCCCATATGGGAGGAGTGTGGGAAAGAATGATTGGTGTTGCTAGGAGAATTCTTGAAGGGATGTTTAAGACACTCAGAGTTACCAGTATCTTCAGATCCAGAAGTTCCGACTGTTCTTTCTCCGAACATGCTTCTCACACAGAAGACTTCGACATTTGTGGCACCTAAAGGGAAATTCAACAAAACAGATTTACATGGTAGACAGGTGCAGCACTTAGCCGATATGTTTTGGTATCGGTGGAGAAAGGAGTACATACCAACCATACAGAACAGAACAAAGTGGCAGAAGGATAAACGGAACATGAAGGTTGGAGACATAGTGATAATGAGAGATGCGGAAGCAACTAGAAACTACTGGCCTTTGGGTAGAGTGGTAGCAACAGAGGCAGGAAGCGATGGCAGAGTGAGAAAAGTGGAGGTGACAATTACAAGAGGAGATGATCGGAAGACACTTGCCAGACCAATCGCAGAAGTGATCCTTATCCTGCCTGTGGGCGATGAAGTAGATGATTAATTTTTGAAAACATGTATAATGTTATGTTTATTTCTATTATTATATTTGTTATGGCTAACTTAGAGAAGTGATTTTTATTTTAGTTTAAATATATATTGATAGTAGCATTAATGCTAGACGGGGAGTGTCATGCCTATATGGCAGTATGAGCTGTAGTTATGGTTATTCTAATTTATGTGCTCTTAGTCTGCAAGCTGTGGTTTGCGGTATCCATCCAGGGTAGTGTTTCGCGGGAATGAGTTAATCTAATTTATGTAGGTCAGACCCGGCAGAGAGAATATTCACATGTGCGTGTAAAACTGTGGTAGTTTATCATCAATTTTTTACCTTTTGGAGTTGGGACGTGCTTATTGGATACCCTTACAGGAGACAGCTATTTGTGAGTTTAGAATAATGTACAGTTTTAGTGTTAGCCTTTATATTTCTTATTATACAAGTTGTTTTAAACTTGGGCAGTATCGTGGCATGTTTCATGCCAGCCATAACCCACTGCCTCATGGCCTACGTTAGGCCATGGTTTAGTTTTAGGATAGTAGCGGAGCCTAGAGTGATTCGATACATTGATTTAGTCTTAACTTATGATTATGATGTGATTACATCTAACATATATGTGATCCATACTTAATATACAGTATAACTTGAGGTGGATATCATTTAAGGCGTTTTTTGCCATATAATTTTATGTTTTCATAGTTACGCTCGAGTACATGAGCTTAGTAAAATTTGTTATCGTTACGCTCGAGTTGTGATTCGAGGGTGTCAAGTCGAGCGCAATTATTGAGGGCGCTTTATTATGATATAACACAGAATAATATAGAGATAGCTCGAGTTTTGAGCTGTACAGTTTGTTCAACATGTATTTTCTTATCTGCTTGTTTTACAGTTACCGTGTTTAGTATGCAATAAATCCTGAGTGAAATTGCAAGTATATGTACTTGTTTTTTGTTGTGTGCTGAACCGGTTAGCTTCCTGGATAGCGACATACGAGAA